CCCGTCTTACATTTTTCTAAAGTTTCTCGAATGTCTTAAAAGAAGTTGGGTGCGTAGGGGTCCTAGGAATGTTTTTTTTGGACTCTGGGATCCCTACGAACTTGTCTTAGGTGGCTTCAATGCTGTTATACTTAGTGATCTGCGGTTGTTCGCTGAGATCTGGGGATGTCTTGGGGTGGACTTTCCATGGGACAATCAAGGGTTGCTGCCGGGACGATGCTGATCGGAGCTGGGGTGAGTCGCGTTGCCCTGTAACCCAACAGCAAGTGGGGGTGTGAGACCTAGAAGAGATCGGCAGGGAGTATGACAATTTTGAAGAACGTTGGTGTGGGATTTCGAGTTTTTTGGAACAATCGTAGGACCTCTGTGGCCTATTCTCATACTTCTTGGACGACGGTAAGAGTTCTTAGGTATTTCAAAAAGAAAATAAGGTGAGTGGGAGAAGATGGTGGGTTATCATGCATCCTACAAGTGAGGAGGCTAGCTGGTAGGATGGGAGTATGGCATAGCAGCAGGAGAGATGGTGGCTCCCCTACACTCAGTCTCGCCGAAGTGGGTAAAGTGGTTTGGTGGGGGGTTTTCTGAATCGTTTCTGAATCTTGCTTAATCATGAAGTTGTCATAGATGCAATCAGACTCGTCTCATTCACACTTTTCATGCATGTAAACAGCATCGCAGCAAACTGGCGACATGCGCCCACTCAGAACTCAGAGATATAGCATCCAGATAAGAGTTCACTTCCACCGGCCATGGCGACTCAGCGCCCAACAACTCACTGTTCACATACACCGGATCACCCTGGATATCCCACACGCGACACTCTGAACACTCACACAACACACACACACCTCACTCTAAACTACAGCTATGGCAGCGATGGCTGCCTCTACCCTACCGCAATGGCTGCACTTTGTCTCTCTTGCCCACTTCAACTTCGGGCTGCTGCTGACCTCCTTGCACAAGCCGCCGAGGCAGCGCGTCCGCATGGCTTCCGCAGGAATGAATGAATGGATGTGCGCGGCCTCTTGATTTATACTTTTGTGACTCGTTGGTCTGCCCTTGTTTCCCTGGCCCACGGTGCGATCAGTCCCAGGCGGTACTTGCTTGACTGGATTGGGATTGCTGACTGTGCACGGTGGACGTCCACCACTTGCCCACTTGCCTCTGCCTAAACTTCTAAGGCCACCACTGGGACCTTCTAGAAGGCCGTGGACTTGGCCTTTCGGTCCTGTCGGGGCTACGACCTTGACTCTTTAGGACTGGACTAGCTAAGACCTTGACCTTTCAGAAAAGTTGTGGCTACGACCTCTAAGCCTGGCTAAGACTCCTAGCCGACAGGTCTACAGATCAAACCCAGGCTACCTACGGACCCTACGATGACCTATCAGCTGTTACAAATACACAGGGCGCGGGTTCGACTCCACGGGTCAACACAGGTACTGTACACAGGTAAGGTGGGGACTAGGGATCGAGCCCTGGGATCTGCATCAGCTACTCCGAGTTGGTGAATACGGTTTCACTCCCGCCGGCCTAAATTCGAGGTCCTCCGATAATATTTGAGTCCAAGGCAGGACCTTTACCCTTTCTATCCCTTTTGTAGGCCCTGACTACGTCGGGAGCTGTTTGTAGAAGTTCGGTCCTTGTGAACCAGCGGTCGTCCTCTGGTTCCTGGTATGCAAACCTGACTATATACTGTTTGTGAGGACGGCCTCTAACTCCAGTTCTAAACATGTCTTCACCTACAATGTCGTCAATGTCGTACCTCCCATCCATGTCTGGAGGGATCATGGACCGTCTAGATGGGAACTGGTCACTTACGGTGCATGGCAACAACTTTGAGGCATGGAAAACAAGGTAGGTGTGGAGGTGTGTCGGGATCTCTATCGAGTAGGACAGACCATCCTCTCCGCCCTTGACTTCTAGAACTGGCCACGGTCCCCTATACGCGGGCAGTAACTTTTGCGAGATATTCTCCTCAGGAGCAAACTCTTTAGCCTTGACCCAGACTAAGTCGCCTACTTGCTCTATCATCCTATGTTGGGCCCTCCTGAGGTTCTCTACAACGGTAGCTAGTTCCTTCTCATGTTGTATAGTGAACTCCCTAGTATCGGGCGGTAGCCTATGAATCTGATCCCGGTTAAGTCCCTCAAACGGTCTGCACGGTCTAAAGGACTTGTGCAACTCGTTGGGAGTGCGGCACGTAGACAAATGCACAGTATTGTTGTAAGCACAGGCTACCTTGGGAAGCATCTCATCCCAGTCAACTTGATCTGGCCTGATATACATTCTTAGAACTTGCTGCATGATCTTATTCCTTTGTTCGGTCTGACCGTTGGTCTCGGGGTGACGACTTGACGACATCAACAACCTGCCAGTTCTGACTCGTGAACCGGGTGTCTCTATCACTAACTATGGACAATGGGACCCCGTGCTCACTGACCCAATGATAAAAAAACTTACGGATCACTAACTCGGTTCGTGCCTCTGAAGGCAAAGGTATAAAAACAGCATACTTGCTAAACCTATCGACTATCACCATGACTTGGCTCTTGCCATGCCTACTCTTGACGCTAGCGTCCATGAAATCAATGGACACCGAGTCTCCTGGCTGATCAGGAATAGGCAAGGGTCTAAGAAGACCTAGCGGGGCATGCGTAGTAGTCTTATTGCTCTGGCAAACTTTGCAACTGCGAACATACTCTATGCAGTCATTCTTCATCCTTGGCCAGGTGTACGCGCGCATTAGGTTGGCTAGAGTCTTTTGCCAACCAAAGTGACCCTCTGTATCGTGACATTCCCCTAAGATCAAACTACGGATCTCCTCACTATTGGGAATGCATAGACGGTCAACTACGTTAGTCTTTTCAAATAACAGTCCATCAGTAGTGCGGTAATCTGGCTCGGTTTTTGGGGCCTCCTTTACTTTCTTGAGGAGGTCACTGTAGATAGGGTCTTGCGCATACGCCTCTTTAACTCTTTCCTGCAGGTCTCTCCCTATGTCCAGATAGTGAACTATCGCTCCAAAGTAGTCAGCTCTCCTACTCAGAGCGTCCGCAACTACATTATATTTCCCTTTGACTGGCTTGAGCTCAAAATCATACTGATCTATTTCCGCGGCCCACCTAGTAAGCTTGGGTGTCATCTTGGCCTGCGTCTTTAACCATCTTAACGTTTCGTGGTCGGAATAGACTTTGAAGTGCCTCCCAAGCAAGTAGTGCTTCCAATGGTCTAACGCTTGCCAGAGAGCGTAGAGTTCCCTCTCATAGGTAGATGTCGCCACCTTCTCTGAAGTCATCCTAGCAGACATGAACTCTACGGGCCTATTACCATTGCCATCGTCTTGTTGCGGAACAACACCTATTCCGAATTGACTGGCGTCCGTAGTGACGACAAAGGGTAAGGACGGATCGGCCACCTTAAGGACTGGATACTCTATCAGTGTCTGTTTCAACTTCTTCATGGCAGACGTGCAGTCCTTGTCCCACTTCCAGATGGTTTCTTTCCTTAGCAATTTGCGAAGGGGCGCCGCGATAGTGGAGAAGTTCCTTACGAACTTCCTATAATAGTTCGCTAGGCCTAGGAATGACCACAACTCTGTCAACGTACGTGGTATAGGCCAATCCCTGATCGCTGCAATCTTACTATCCTCTGGCTTGATGCTATCTTCGTCTAAGACGTGGCCCAAATATAACACTTGGGTCTTTGCCCATTCGCACTTCTTTGCGTTGATCTTGAAGTTAGCTTCTCTCAGCTTCACCAAGACCTGCGTGAGATGACCCTGATGCTCTTCGAGGGTCTTGCTAAACACTGGTATATCATCCAAATAAACTACAACAAACCTATCTAACCACGGCCTAAACAAATCATTCATACATCGTTGGAAAGTCGCTGGCGCGTTGGTTAATCCAAACGGCATCACTATGAACTTGTAGTGCCCGTATCTAGTCTGGAATGTTGTCTTGTACTGATCATCAGGATGAACCTCTATCTGATGATATCCGGACTTCAAATCTATCTTGGAAAAATATCTGCACCCCTGCACCCGATCTAAAAGATCGTCTATCCTGGGCAGTGGCTCGACATTCTTAATTGTGATAGCGTTCAGACCCCTATAGTCTATACATAATCTAAGCTCTCTCTCGTTCTTGGGGACAAACAGAACAGGTGCGCCAAATGGTGACGAACAGGGCCTAATCCAACCCTTCTCTAGGAGCTCATCTAACTGCTTGCGCAACTCCTCCAACGCCCGCAGGGACATCCTATACACTGCTCCCTTGGGGGTCCTACTGCCAGGTTCAATCTCAATACGATGCTGGATCGACCGCGGTACTACTCCTATCGGCGGCATTGCTAAATCTGTGAATTCTTCCAGCAGCTTGGCAATAGCAGGGTCTATAGGCTTCTCTTCCTTAGGCTCAGTGACCCATAGGCTACAAAACCCTGTTCCTCCAGCTGCTCCTTTTTCACTAGCCTTGCGAATGCAGGAGCGCTAAGGCAGCAGTGTGTCAGTCTTGACACCGTTGTTGGACTAGGGAGCCTACACTCGTGCTTTCTCAAGTGGAGTGTGGCCCCTGCTGCCTCTCCCCGGTCCATACCTAGGACTATGTCAAACGGGAGGCTATCCTCTACGAGGAGAGTCAGGGAATGGAGAACTTTCTCTACTTTCCCATCCTGTTCTAGGCGGAAATACGCCTGGACTCCCTCTACGTACTCCTCTACTCGCATGATGGGATTGTCCGCGAGGATACTCACTATGGGGTCTGCTAATCTTTGGACTTTTAACTGCAACTTCAGCTTCTGAAGTGCCTTCCTACTGATATAACTACGAGTGGCTCCACTATCCACTAAGGCGCCAACTCGGCCTCTAAAAATCTCTGCATCTACTAATATGAGCTGCCCCTTGTTCTCTTTCCTCATCTTGGCCCAGGCGGGCATCCTCTCCTTCAATTCCTCTGCCATGCCTGTGAGGAAAGTGCCTAGAGAGATTCTAACACATGCAGTCTCTGGCCTGCTATCTAGGCACCGGCCTGCAACTTCTGCCATGGGCTCATGTGGGTTGGGAGATTCGTGCCGGCTTGCTAACTCATCTCCACATGGCCCTATGGTAGAGGCAGTTGCTACCCCTATCGGCGGCTGGCTCTTGCTTCTTGCGCAGCCCAACGAGCCTCTTTGGGGCAGTCAGCTTGGCCCCAACACAGTATCGTTTTGTGCCCTCGAGGCGGGCTGTCACATACGAGCCCAACTGCATAGCCAACTCCCGAGCAAAGTCCCTAAGCCCCGACCGTATCGAACGCACGACAATGTCCTGGCCTCTACCAAACAGAAGTTGCTCCTCCTGGGCCTTTGCCAGGCGTTCCACGTTCTTGGCCAGGATCTCTACCTTTCCCAATAAGTCTACTTGGACCGCCATCTGATCCCTCTGCTTCCTAATCTCTTCCAACTCTTGCGCCGCCTCTGTTGCCGCCTCCATTCTTGTCTTTCTCTCCCCAGTAAGGCGAAACTTCCACTCCATCCTCTTCTCATCTTCTAACACTTGCCGCTTGAGTGGGTCTCCTTCAGCTTCCCACTCTCGCACGACCACCTCCTGCTCGTCCCTTGGTACATACATTAACGCCTCCTCATCCTCTCCCAGGGTCAGTCCTGCACCCCACTCTGAAATCTTCTTCTCCATCAAGTCTTCCTTTGTCTCACTGGACGCCCCTCTGTTTCCTCTTCTTCCTCTCTCTAGTGGCTCCTCTTCTACTTCTTCTTCTTCCTCTTCCACTTCCTTTAATTTTGCTTCTTCTTCTCTCTTCAGCCTCTCCTTCTCTCTGGCCATCTCCTCCTCTATCTTTTTCAACTTCGTCGCCTGCTCCTCCTGTAGGGCCTTCTTCTTGGCCTCTTTCTTCTCTTTTCTCTCTTTGAGGATGGCGGCGACCTTTGCTTCCTGCTCGGCCATGTAGGGCGTGGTACCCATTCCCGTACGCGTCTCTACCCTACACGAAAACCTGTTCTAGAATCCCAATGAGAAAATGAAACACTGTCGGGCTGGGGGTGCGCCTCTCTATTGTGAGCCCGGCCTCATGGCCCTAGGCCCCCCTCTTTTTGCAAGCGGCGCTTCCAATATTCAAACCGATATTCAAACCGGAATCGGACAGGCTTTCAGGTAGGAACCAAATTTTGAGTAGCAAAAGGACGAGTTCCAGACTCCCAGATATCAAACAGAACGACTCAGACGGACCGGGCCCTTTCAGATTAGAACCGATATTCGAGTAGTAAACTGACGAGTTCCAAACTCCCAAACAACAAGCAGTGACGCACCCAATGTCAAGACTGATTTTTCGACTGCACTCTGATAGTTATCCGGCTTTCGGATAGGAACCGATTTTTGAGCAGCAAACTAAAGGAACGAGTTCTAGATTCCCATACGTCCGGATTAGAACCGAGATTTGAGTGACGAACCGACGAAATGCAAGCTTCCAAATAGCGAACAGTGACGCTCCCAATATCGAGATTACAATCGGATAGTCATCAGACTTTCACGTAGGAGCCGATTTTTTAACAGAAAAGGGACGAATTCCGGACTTCCAGATGTCAAGATCAGAACCAAGGACAGCCTGCCGGATCCCGAACAGAATTCCTCAGGAATCATGCAACCGCCTGGCCCCTTACGCCCAGACTATTTCGGGTTAGAACCAACACTCAGATTCGAGAACCGGATGTCGTCGTGACTGCAGAACAGACCGCTCCTTATAAGGACTAATGCTCAAATTGATAACAGGCTCCCCCCCCCTCCTCAGACTGTCGCTCACCCTAACCTGCAGCGCTAGGTTTTTCAAAGCCCTACTTGGCTCGAGGGGCTCTCTTTGGTCCCCTAGCCAGACCGGGCCTTGCCGCAGACGGAGCTAATTGCACATAACTCAAGAACCGACCCAACTCTTAAGAAAACGGACCTCTCCGTTCGATTGCTCTAGTTCATGCACGTTCTCATTAGCCGAAGTAATTACAAGAACTCAGGGCTCGCACCTACAATAGCCCTATTTCGTCCCCATACTCATCCGTAGACAGAAGGACCACTCAGGCCCGAAAGCGGACCTCAGAACACTAAAGCTCCAGAAAGGCAATCGACTTCGCCGTCCGCGCTTGCTAGACCGCACAACTTTCGAACAGAGGAACGCTCTTTCGCAGATAGGCCCAACCGCTCCAACCTCGTAGTTCAAGAACCACCTTCCCGCTGATACGGCCACTCACCCTTATTCCCTTTCTCAAAAAAAACGAGGATCGGCCTTTCTCTTCTGGAAGTTCTCTCCTGGCCATCCGCCTCTTCGTTCGACGCATGTCGAGATCTCGTAACTTGTCCGACTTGTTACCTGAAAAGAGAGGAGGTTCTCTTAGGTTCCCAGCTTGCACAACCAGTTGTCCACTGGAACGCCTGCAGGATCGTGAAGTCCCGAGCTCGGGGAAGGCCAAACTTCTCCCCCCCCCCCCTCTCTC